CCGCTCTGGGCCCTGCACTTTGGGGGGCCCTGCAGTGGCTGCCCCAACCATCCTATAGACAGGACAGTCCCCCATACTCAGGTTAGCCTGCAGGGCCCTGGGCGGGCTGGGACCAGCCGCAGGCCCTGGAGCCCCCCCATACTCACCATGGTGGCAGGAACCTCGGGGACGCTCTGCCGCTGTCCCCTAAGCCAGCCCGCTCTGGGCTGGGGCGCTCCACTTCTGTTGCCGTGGCCAAGTGAAGCACCGGGCTGGCCTGGGAGATGGGAGTGGGGCAGAGGCTGCTGCATCGCTCTGCTTCCCCCCAGCTCCCGCCAGCAGAGGGGCCCGACCCCGGCTGCTGCTCCCTGCCAGGCCCCCCGGTTATCCCCGGACCAAGTCCCTACAGCTTGAAGGAAGGGTTGCGATGGGGGGAGAGGCAGGGCAGGGCTGGGAAGAGGCGGGGTGGGAGCAGAGCAGCGGCTGGACTAGGGGAAGGATACGGACACACTCCCTCCCTCCCAGGGCTGCAGGACTCATGCGCCAGCAGCCATGTGCAGGCTGGATTGTGGAACTGCTTGGGCCACAGGCTGTGAGTTTGAGGCCCCTGTGTATACACTTGCTGTGCTGATGGAAGGGGCGTTTCTCTTGCCGTAGGCAATTCCCCCTCCCCGAGCAGCAGTCGCTGCGTTAGTGGAAGAATCCTTCTGTCAGCCTAGCTGTGTCTACACCTGGGCCTAAGGCGGTTTCACTGCGGCATGCGGGGACGGGACTCTCGTCGCATCCTGAAGCAATGGCGCAGGGTGGATCTAAATCTCCAGTGCAGAACAGGCCCGAGGCATTCCGAAGGTCTAACGCCTTTCGCGGCTGGGCCCCGCACTGAGCCTGTCCCTCGGCAGCCTGGGGGCCGCGTAGTCCCTGCAGGGGCACTGGCTGGCAAGTGCTGGGGGTGCCAGCACCTGGTAGATGCACCGTGCCTTGGGTGTACCCAGTGTCGACAGGCGCCCTGCGCAGGCACAGCAGCGGAGCTTTGCTCGATGGCAGCTGCAGTTTGGCAGCCGGCAGGCGGCTCTGAGGGGTGGCCAGGAGAAGGGGCTCAGGTTTGTTATTGTCAGGGGGCTGCTCAGGACCATGCACTAGGAATGGGCAGAGCACACAGCCTGGGAGACGTGCGGTGAGGAAGGGAATCCCCAAATCCTGTGTCTAGGAAAGGCCTGTGCTCAGACCTCTAGCAGGAAGAGCCGATGCCTGGGAGAGGGAATCCAGGGGGACTGGGAGAGAGAGCCGGAGGGGAGAACACTTGAGGGCCAAAAGAGACGAGGGAGGAACTCACAGACGCTCCCTCCCACCCTTCCTGGTGTAACACGAGAGGAGTGGAGAGCACAGCCCTGCCCGTGACTGGCTCTCCACAGCGCTCGGCTGCCCCAGGTCCGAGATGGGCAGGCTACGTTAGAGGAGAGAATGGAGGGAAGGAAGGTGGCTGGAGAAAAGGCAGATAGAGACGGCGAGAGGCTAGAACAGCGGCAGGCAAATACCAGCCTGCGGGCCAGAGCTGGTTTGCCAGGGTTAGCCCCGATGGTCCACCGCTGTATTTACCCACCTCCGCAGGGACGGGCGCTCGCAGCCCCCACTGGCTGTGGATCACCATCCCAGGCTAATGGGAGCTGCGGGAAGTGGCGCGGACCAGGACACCACTTCCTGCAGCTCCCATTGGCCAGGAACTGCGATCCATGGCCGATGGGAGCTGCAAGCACTGTGCGTGCAGAGGTGCAGGTGAATACAGAGGCGGCTGCAGAACTGCTGCATCTTACTGCCCACCCCTGGGCTAGACGGAGGTTGGATCAGGCTGTTGGGCAGGGGGGCTAAGCAGTGAAGGAAGAAATTTAGCACAGTGAAGAGAGAGACGGTTTCAAAAATAACCCAGATGAGAGAGAGGGAGAGAGCTAGGAAAGTAAAAATAGAACGGCTGGAGCAGAGAGGAAACTGGCTGAGAGGAAAAGGAGAGGAAAGGGGAATGGAGAGACACTTCAAACTTGTCAGAGACGCGACTGTCTGGGGAAGCGTGGGTGCAAAGGCAGGGACTGAGCGTGAGGAGCCTTGTCCCCAGACGCACTGAGGTAGCATGAAGTAAGATGCAGCCTGACTCAGATGCACAGGGGACAAGAGCAGGACCTGAGTGAGGCAACAGAGTAGGGCCAGGAGCCTGCAGAGAGCAGGCTGGGCCAGGGGTGGGGAGGGAGGGAAGTCAGGGTGGGAGCTAGGGGTTAGGAGTAGGTAGGGAGGGAAGTCAGGGTGGGAGCTAGGGGTTAGGAGTAGGTAGGGAGGGAAATCAGGGTGGGAGCTAGGGGCCGTGGTGGGGAGGGAGGGAAGTCAAGGTGGGAGCTAGGGAAGGACTCAAACCAGCTGGGTAAGTAGCCTGTGGGGAGTTTGGGATGGGGGCAAGGAGCTGGGCATGGGGGAGGGGCAGAGACCGACTCATTTGTGACAGGAGGAGAACACTCCCCTTTAGAGCCTTGGAAAGAGCCCCAAGATTTTAGGCGTCTTCTCCAGGTCCCTCCCAGTGGGGCTGTAAAAGGCCATTTAAAAATGTAACCTTGTAACTGCTACCAGTCCTAGTGGTTACGCGGTGTCTGTATGGATTTGAGGCAGGAGTCCCTGGCACAAGGGTTAATACCTAGCTCATCTGTGCTGTGAGCAGATCTCAGATTGTGCTGCAATGGAACCAAGTATCATCACTCCTGTTTTATACATGGGGAAACTGAGGCACAGCGAGGCAACATAGCTCCTCCAAAGTCACCCAAAACTCAAGTCAAGAATAGGAGTAAGGTCTCTGTGCAGAGCTCTGTCCCTTTAGGCCACATTGTCTTCCTGTTTGTGGGCATGTAATTAACGGCTGGATCATAATGCATGGGCAATGGGGCCACATCAGGGCTGCACAAGCAACTTTCACTGTGGCATCTCCGAACTTTGGAGTTCTTCACTTCGCAACTTTCCTGTTCTTCTGATGTTGCTGTTTGGCAGCTCCCAGGTGTGTGTGAATGGGATAGCTCCACTCGCTTCCACTGAACTGTAATTGAGCCATCTGTCCCTGGTGGAGGATCTGGCCCAGCTGTTTCACTCTGCGGATGGGTTTGTCTCGAAACTCACACACAGCGCTGGCAAATGGCCCAGCGTGTTCCCAAGTTGTAGAGTTGGTGGCGGTCCCTGCCCCTAGGTATACACAGGGGCCCCAGGCCTTAACCCTGCTTCTCCTCCTGCAATTCAAACCTTGCACCCTATGTCCTGCCCAGATGCAAAAACCTCCCCACCTTTGATGTTGGGTCAGAGGAGGCTTCGTGATCACTACTAGTGATAACCAGACCCCGTGTGGCTACAAAATTTGTAAGTGCGTCCGATTTGCAATCTGCAAACGTGGCCTGGGGATTTCTGCAGGTTCGCAGGGCGTC